CTCTCTCTCTCTCTCTCTCTCTCTCTCTCTCTCTCTCTCTCTCTCTCTCTATAGTGCATGTGGCAGGTCTGATCTGATTGACACTGGAGAGGTTTGTGGCTTTAGCATTGCTTGAAGGACAAACCTCCAGTGAAAGTGTTGTTGTATTTTTGTGTCTGTTTGCAGGTCTGAGCAGGTAGGGAAAGATTCTTCTGCATAAATCTCTGTTATTAGCTTCTTTTCACCTGTAACTAAAAGAGAATTTATTGCTGGAAACCCCCCTGAGAAGAAAGCAGGGGAAACATGAAAACATTAGCTCTGTTCCAGCACCTAGTGAGCTGCCTGCTGTGTCTGTATTTTTCAGCATCATAGATGCACTCTTAAAGGGTTAGTTCACCCAAAAATGAAAATTAGCCCATAAATTACTCACCCTCAAGTCATTTCTTCTTACAGACGAATCCAGTCGGAGTTATATATTAAAAATTGTCTTTGATCTTTCAGCTAATTTCCATTTTTGGGTGAACTAACCCTTTAATGCAAAGGCTGTTTCAGAGTGATGATGATGATGCAGCCTTTTAAGCTGTACTCTAAAGCAGAATTGCATCTACAGAGAAGGTTATCCCAGAATCCAGTCTAGTAGGCCGAACCACAAAAACACCACAGGATTTTTCCTTTGGCTTTTGAATTTTTTGCAGAATATAAGCTCTGCGACCAACAAAAGTTGGATGTTCATCATAATAATCTTCACAAAAATGATCTACTCCGTCTACTGACTTTTAACATCATCCCCATTATGCTTTCGACAACTCTTTCAGTCTTTATTTAAAACACATTTTAGCTGATATTTTGAGTTGGAATAGATTGCAAGGGCAAATGATGAACTTGGGGAGGCGGTAAAGCCGGACTAGTGCGTAGATGAGTTTTCCTGTTCAGTGTGACGATGTTTACTGTCTCCTACATATAACACCTTGCTAGCAACCGCCTTTTTCAAGGCAAGAAAAAGCTTTTAAAAACCACAGGAAGATGTAACTGGTGTATTGTATGATGAAGAGTAAAAAAAAAAAAAAAAATCTCAATCTCTTATGAACCACAGACCTTATTTCAGGTATTTAACCAAAACCCATTAACTTCGAGAAGATGGAACTGGAAAGTGCTAAAATGGTAATTCGTTTTCCGCACTCTATTGTCCCAACAGAATAACAAAATAATTCAGGCTTATTGCGTTTTTTTACTCTTTGTTGCTTTAATGTTGCTCATCCTTATGTTATATCTGTTAGGTGACAGCTGTGCATTATTAATACCAGATTCTAGTTTAGGGATTAAAGGAAATTTGAGAGTAAAACAATATTGTCACTGTATTATTGACAGTCAACATAGAGGGAAAATGTTCTGTGGAATTGAACCTCCATTACCTGCATGAGCTCCAAGGCTCAACTTTTCTGGCTAGCATGAGCTAACCACTAGGCTCCAACTAGTAAAACAATATGAATATAGAAAGCTTATAGAATAGGAGTGAGTTTTAGCTCAAGATAAGACCTGTGGGAGCTTGCTGTTGGGAGTGTTAACCCCTGATTACAGCAGAAGCTCACACACACTCACAGATGCCCCCGGGGCTCCGTGTCCACTCATATCCCGCACCGCTTCATCACTTCCTACACACACACAGGTCATGTTACCAGCTGCACACACACACACACACACACACACACACACACACACATTCTCCCTCATCACAGTCACACTCCCACATGACCACACACAGCCTCTGCTTGTGCTTCCGCTGATGTGGGGCGGTTTAGTGTCATGGTCTGTAAGGATCTCATTGCTGTTTTAATATACGCCAGCAGTCGTCTTTTATTCATATTGAAAATACATTTCATTTTATTTTGTAGATAAACATTCCACTATGATGCATGATTAATGATGCATTTGGCTTTGAAACTAGATTGCTTTTTTTCAGCAGTTTTCGCTTGGTGTTTGTTATTATTATTAGTATTTGAGCTATTGAGAAAGGTATACCCCCGGTTTCACAGACAAGGCTTAAGCCTAATCCCAGACTAAAATCTAAGTCTGAGCTGTTTCAACTGAAAGAAACTTGCTTTAATTGATCTTAAAATATATCAGTGCCTTTATTTTGTCACAAAATGCACACCAGTAATGTTTTTTTCTAAGGCACATTTCTAAAAATTAGTTAAATGTCCTAATTGATCTATGGCCTAATCCTGGTTTAGTCTAAGCCCTGTTTGTGAAACCAGGCCTTAGAGTACTAAAGTTGATGGGACCTTTCTTATTAGAACAGTTTTAAATGGTTGTGCTGATAAAAATTGCTTGTAAATCTCTCATTATGCTATATTATCAACAACAAATTTTGGATTTGGTCTTTTTGTGAACTTTCAGTTAGCACAGGGTTTGTATTTCTTTTTGGAACTGACTGGTCATAGGCCTCATTGATCTGATCTTATGCACTCAAATTATTGAATATGCATACAATATAGTATAACAAGATATTTATAAGAAACTTTTGGTAGGCTCGTCATTTTTTCCTGAACATTTCCTGAACAATTAAAATATGTTCAATTATCAGTTTTTTTGGGGGGAAGTTGTTATGTCCTGTGTGAGAGAAGTCAGTATATGTTTCAGCCAAGTGCAATAACATTAACTAGTATTTTCGGGGGAAAGAAAATCCTCTCTGGGTCAAAACGACCAGAACACAACATGAGGGTTAATGAAGTGTGGAAATCACAATACAATGTCTTTTTCTATCAGAAATGGTGAAAAAGAAACATATTTCTCCAGAAATGCATCAGTCTGTTGTTCTTTCCAGAGATGAAGGCTATTTCATAGAAGACAGCAAACTGGACATCAGTGTCTTGAGAAACAGACCGCACATTGGTGCTCAGCTAGTATTACACACCAGCTTCATTTGCAAAATTGAGAAGAATTTTTATAAATATAGAGTGTGTTACAAATGTTTGAAATTTGTGTTTTGAACTAAAAAAAAAAGAATTCTTAAAAACCCCTTTTGGCTGATGCACTCTTACTGCCATATAGATGTTTATACCTTCAAATTACCAATGAAGTCCAGCCATCTTTTTTTTCTCTTTTTTTTTTTCTTGAACACCCTGTTTGACCCAAAAGGGAAAAAGGTTGCGAATGTCATTTAATGCTTATTTTAAAATGAACTGTATTCAAGTTGGTATGAGCTTGGTTCGCTTTAGAGAGGTCTCAGACACCTAAAACGAACCAATTGTGACAAAACCCTACATTTACACGTGTTGTAACTATAGCTCAGTGGCCCGTTTTTTAAGCTGCTGTGTATAGCTTACTTAGACAGCTTTTTGCCCGAACATTTCAGCAATTTAGTGACTAAACAATACGCAACACTGTATCTGTTGTTGATATATAAAGCAGGTTTTCCATGTCACTTCTAGTATTTAATTCTGTTATTTGAGTTATGGTGTCATTTAAAGTATGTGTGGTTTTCTCAAGCAGCTGTGATCAGGGGATTATGTCTGGCCCTGATGATTTCCTTTAGAAACAGAGCACCACATGGACATCTGGTTCTGTTTCTGACTGTGTTGAGTTCGTCTCGTGTCTGTCAGTATAGAGGCTTTTCTTCTGGTCTCTAACTGCTCTGAAGAACTTTAACACTGTTTTTAACCACCTTTTATATAACTTGCTGTCTTGCTGTATCTCTGTGTGTGTGTGTGTGTAACCCTGTCTCGTGGCTGTGACACTAACAGGACTCTGCATTGGGACTGTGACCCCTCCACTCTTCTGCTTCACTCTGAGCCGGGGTACTGCACGCTTTCTGCTCGTTCTCCTTCACTTCTGCTCTTTCAGACCTCTAGAGAAAGAAGTCATGAGTGATTGTTGTTGATCATGAGAAGGGATTCACGCTGTGATTCATGCTGTACTGTAAAGTAAACCGCAGGATAGCAAGGCATATGGGTTTGGGTGTTTTAAACGTCACACAGAGGTGAATGTGATTCTAATGTGATCTAAAGTGATTTCCAGAGGACATTTAGAGACATTTACACCTGGTATGATGAACATGTGAGACAGATTCTGTGCATGTTTACAATACCGGGTAAAGGTTTGGACACACTTATTTAGTGTTTATTCATTAGTGTTATTATTTTTCAGATTTTAGAATAATAGAATTTAGAATAAATTCATCAACATGATCAAATGTAAGTTTAGAAATGATATAATGACAAAAAAATGTTAAACTAATAGACTTGCTGTATTCTAAAGCTTTTGAAGAATTGAAAGCGATCCAATCCCATGTGCACTGCTGGCTATTTTTCCTTCACCACCATCCATTAAATTAAATGAATAAATCCGTTATAAAAATGTAATTTAATTTTTGATGGGTTTATGGGTTTTTGTTTAAAATTCATTCATCGCAATTTATATTTATCTACAAACTAATCTGGCACTACAAGCCTTTTCAGAACAAAAGAGTTTAGAGCTTCAAATTGAGTCAAATGTGTCCATTTTTTCCCCAGCAAACATGTCCGTTTCTGACCACCTATGAATGTGGTGTGGGTGATCGGATCACAGTGTGTTTCTAAGACTTATTGGAGCATGTTTCCACCTGTGCTGTGTTTAGTGCTGTCCACTTGTGATCAGCTGATAGAGATGTTACCAGAGGTTAATGTGGCCTCAGTTTGTCATCTGCTCAAGAAAGATGCAGCATGTGTGTAAAAGTTTAGATGGTTGAACAGTGTGGGAATTGTTCCTTCATATGATTTGTGTGTGTGTGTGTGTGTGTGTGTGTGCTCTTTCAGACGTGGTCCTCTGAAGTTGGCCATGGCAAAGGTGACCCACGTGGATTTCCCTCCCAAAGAGGTGGTGTCCTACACCAAGGAGACACAGACGCCCACCATGACAGAGCAGAAAGAGGGTAAGTCGTCATCTAACCCATACAGGAATACTAACTGATACCATTTACAAGATTATTTTCATGCTATGGACAGTAAACAAAGCAATTTGTGGCATTGTTATATTTAAAAAAAAAACACACACACACTAACAACCTCCAGAATCAAATTCAGGATATATCTATGACCGTATCAATAATGGCCAATATTGTTGCTTGCTTTCTTTCTGAATGCATGCATGGTTGTATGATAGTTCTGGTGCAACTTCACACAATCAACAAGGTGTGTGGGAAAAAAAATATTATATTGACTACGTTTACATGGACAACAATACTCCGATATTAATACGATTAAGACGATACTCTGATTAAGAATCTACCATGTAAACAGAGATTTTTGATTACCTTAATCCGGCTAAAGTCATAATCGAAGTAAACAGAAATCGAATGAAGACATGTGGAGTATTCCTATTTTAGTTGCATTACTGAAGTGCAGAATAGACATGTAACGCCGCATTTTGTGACAGGATACATACACGGCAGTGCTTAACCGTTTGATGGCAAATAAAACCGCTTTAACACTGCCATCTTCTGTATGCATGTTCAAATAATTAACTGCACTTGAAGCTTTCATAAAATTAAAAATGAAACCCAAAACTGTACATGGCATCATCACAAAGACGAACTATATGTTTATGCATGAAATTCCGGAGGGGACGTCGGATGGCGTCACGTGGAGACGTAATGACGTGTGCCATTTATCGAACTATGTACTATAACATGTAAAATGGGAACATGAAAGGAATATTCTAAAAGCAACTCATGTAAACACCATAATCATAATATTGGCTTATTTAGAATAAGATAAATAATTAGATTACTGATGTCCATGTAAACGTAGTCACTGATTCAATACCAGCGACACTTGTGACGTTAAGGGGTCAGAGCAAACAAAGAATGTAATTAAAAAGGGAATTTTATTTTGCCAACGCATTTCGGCACACAGGCCTTCGTCAGGGCTAAAATATTGCAGGTGTACCATAGGCTCCTTTAAATGCAAACAAGGACAAAATTCTAACTTGCAAGCAACCAATGAAAATATTGGATAATATATCATCCACCAATCACAAAATTCATCAAACAAATAGCCACATATTTTTCCAAATAAATATACAGGTATAGTCAACAAACAGACGTATAGTGATACTCAATTCAAAACATTTATGCAAAAAAAAAATGTAATTAACGAATACAATGCACACCTATATGCAAAATCATTATGGAAACGATCTTATACAAATGATTTTAAAACAAGCTCTTCATTCATCCCAATAGGGAACAAACTTTTAAAATAAAAAATCCAAAATGCCTCTCTTCTTTTCCTAATTAGATCCTTCTCTTACTGGATTTTTTTTTATGTTCAATACCAAAAAATAGAAAGGAAGGTATGTATGTATGTATGTACACATTTTCTCTTCCAGTAAATTTGAATGTTTTTATGCCTAATTTCATAGATTATTTCTTTCTGATTCTCTGTTAAAGGAACACTCCACTATTTTTGAAAATAGGCTCATTTTCCAACTCTCCTAGAGTTAAACAGTTGAGTTTTACCGTTTTCGAATCCATTCAACCGATCTCCGGGTCTGGCGGTAGCACTTTTAGCTGTAGCTTAGCATAGATCATTGAATCTGATTAGACCGTTAGCATCTCGCTCAAAAATGACCAAAGAGTTTCTATATTTTTCCTATTTAAAACTTGACTCTTCTGTAGTTACATCGTGTACTAAGACCGACGGAAAATGAAAAGTTGGGATTTTCTAGGCCGATATGGCTAGGAACTATACTCTCATTCCGGCGTAATAATCAAGGAACTTTGCTGCCGTACCATGGGTGCAGCAGGCGCAATGATATTACGCAGCGCCTGAAAATAGGCTTATTGGAAGTTACCCAGCTGGGGATTATTTTCAGGCGCTGCGTAATATCATTGCGAAAAAGGTTAACTCTACGGGAGTTGGAAAATGAGCCTATTTTCAAAAAGAGTGGAGTGTTCCTTTAAATGCTGTTAAATGTTAAATTTTTTTTAAATGGCAAAAAAACAGTATTGGTTTACTGTCAGTTATATTATCTTTTATCAACCACAGCATAAAAACTAACATTGGCTTATTTATTGTAGAGCAGTCAGTGACTGTTTTTTAGTGATAGCAAATGAGTTTGAAACTTTCCCTGAAATGAATAGAATTTATTTTACAAAGGTGGTTTGGCTCATTGCAAAAAGTCTCCCAAACAAGTAGAAACCAATGTTTTTAACGCTGAGGATGCAGGGCAGGGTAGAAACGAGCGTGACTGACACATGTCCATCATCGGAGAAGGAGGCTGGTGAGTGGCACTGCATCTGCAGCAGCAGTTAGAGCACAAGCCTCTGATCTGAGAGCTGTTCAGATGTGTGTGTCTGTGCGAGACATCAGAAGTGTGTAACCCTTTTTGGAAATTATCTGACTGTAGTGAACATGGAGATGAAAGCTGAGGGAAAATTGCAGAGACTCGAGAAACATAAGACGTCAAGGCAAGATTAAACTCACTCACACGCACACACACACACACACAAACACACACTCACATCCATTTACAGAGACGGAGCGAGGGGGCACAGGAAATGAGCAGTAGGTTAGTGGAGATCTGAGAGTGTGTGTCCAAAGGCAGGTCAGGATTTGTGTAATTGCAGTTGAGGCCTTTTATGTGGCAGTTCGTGCATGTCTGAGATATACACGATCACTGCTGTACACTGCTGTGTGTGTGTGTGTGTGTGTGTGTGTGTGTGTGTGTGTGTGTGTGTGTGTGTGTGTGTGTGTGTGTGTGTGTGTGTGTGTGTGTGTGTGTGTGTGTGTGTGTGTGTGTGTGTGTGTGTGTGTGTGTGTGTGTGTGTGTGTGTGTGTGTGTGTGTGTGTGTGTGTGTGTGTGTGTGTGTGTGTGTGTGTGTGTGTGTGTGTGTGTGTGTGTGTGTGTGTGTGTGTGTGTGTGTGTGTGTGTGTGTGTGTGTGTGTGTGTGTGTGTGTGTGTGTGTGTTTGTGATGTCTATTCTGTTGATGTTTGTGCAGGAGATAATTAGGGAGCATTTTAATGAATGCCTTTTAGGGATCTATTTTTAGTGATATGATAACTATATCAGTATTAGACCATTTAATTTATTGCCATTGGTCTGGTTAGGCTGATTATTGCAGATATTATCATGGCCTGTTTTTACAATTCTTACAGTAAACTTTCTTTCTCTTACCAAACACATTTTAAAGAGGGAAAACAGTATAGATGTTATAGAATGTGATGTTAGTTACTAGCCATAACGATAAAATAATGTTACCTTTTTATTCATAAATAATTGTGACTAAAGAGTAGGACTGTGAAAGAAGTTACGATCTAAACTGTGGTCAGTGGACTGATTTTTATCACAGAAATAACGTTCAGAGATACATCTTCCAGTTTAAAAATAAAATGCATCCTCCTTTTTTCCCCCCCTATCATCTCTCAGTTCTCTTACTTCCTCTTAGTCTTCCTGATCTTTCAAGATCTTTCAAGGGAATCAGTCTTCAGTGATGTTTCTGTATTGTGACAACTGAAAAACAGGATTACTAAAACAAAGATGAGCAAATTAACTAAAGCAGAAATGATTAAAAACTATTTGAAATAGAAAAGTATGTGGACTCATCCCACATTAGGACTGAGAAATAATCATAATTTATTTCAAACTGTGTCATTTATAAGTTCCTTGTCTTATGTGTATCACATTTGATTGGAGTAACACAAAAACTGTAACTGACTTATTTTCTCAAATCAGTTTAGGTTGACTGTTTCAATTAATTCATTTCAAATATCAAATATTCACTGATATCCCCACCTCACGTTTCATGTTGTAGTATTTAAAATAATTAACCGTTAATGTAATATTTGTTAAGTGTTAATGTAATATTTTACATTAATATTTAGAAATGTTTCTTGATCAGCAGATCAGCATATTAGAATGATTTCTGAAGGATCATGTGACACTGAAGACTGCAGTAATGATGCTGAAAATTCAGCTTTGATCACAGGAATAAATTACATTTTAAATATATGCAAATAAAAATATATTATATTATTATATTATATAAAAAAATATTTTAAATTGAACTAATATTTCACTGTGTTTCTGTTTTTACACAATTTGCTGTTGAAGGCTCAGCTCTGTGTAGGTCAGGAGGTGTGTGGCCGTTACTGTGTGCAGCAGGACATACAGGTCTCAGTGCTGTTTCAGAGTGCCAGATACGGTTACATTCACATGCATTCAATGCATTCTATAAACAAAGTGACTCCCTTAAATCTTCAAGACGCATACCTGCATCAGTGGTGTGTAAACAGAACCACACTGGACAAAACTAGTTGTCTGTCACGTCATACCGTGCAGTAGCTGCTGTGCATTGCTTGAATTGTGTTGCATTTTTTCATGTGGCATTCTGACCTGATATGACCGTGTGTCTGAAGGTTTTAGATTTAGATGCTGTTGTCTTGTGCTTCTTCCATCAGTTTTATGGTCTTTTATGGTGTGCATTAAAAACATTCAAAAAGGCATGCAATGTGCGGATGGAAATCACTTTTATTACTGCCCGATCCACAGCTCTGCTTGCTGGAGCACCAGGGGTTGTGAGAATGTGAAATTGAATTAAAAGTGATTGTTTTAATTGCCCTTGTGCTCGTGGGAGGGTTAATATCCCATGCTAATCACAAGAAGCCTCTTGTATGGAGAGCATCTCTCTTAAAGTGAGGAACCCTCAGCCCAGCTCTTCACAGATCCAAGCATCTCTAAATGAATACTATTGTCCATCATCTCCTAAACACACTTATTTCATCATTCATCAGCTATCAGTCAATGACACAGGAATTACCACATTGATTACAGGGAAAATAAAAAGCCTCCGCTGTGTTCATTTTATCTTAAGTTTGTGTTTTGCACAAGCTTTTTGGGGCAAACTAATTTGGAAATGTCTTTACAAAAAA